CAACCCTATTATTGCCTGTCGGGCCAGGCCAGCCAGACCATGACTGCATTGAAGTCATGGATGAGGTGTTCTCCAGCAGACCAGACTTGCGAGACCAGCCTCTCAAAGACCCCGACGCTGAATATTTCACTGACGGTAGCAGTTTTATAGAAAGGGGGGAGCGTCTCGCAGGATATTCCGTGGTGACCCTAAGCTCTGTCATTGAAGCAGAGGCCCTGCCGAAGGGGACTTCGGCACAAAAAGCAGAGCTAAGTGCTTTCACCCGAGCCCTCCAACTGGCAGCAGGGATACGTGTTAATATATACACAGACTCTAAATACGCCTTCACCACTCTCCACGTACATGGGGCCTTGTATAAGGAGAAGGGTCTAATGAACTCAGGAGGAAAGGACATAACCTATGGTAAGGCGATCCTTGAACTCTTAGATGCCGTGCGGGCCCCTAAAAGTGTGGCAGTCATGCACTGCCGGGGCCATCAAAGGGGGGGGGACACCACGGCTGCCCTGGGAAACCGAAAGGCTGACCGAGAGGCAAAGCTAGCAGCTTCCAAAGGAGCAATAAATTCAGCGGCTTTAACTGCCGCACTGTTCCCTAACCCACTGACAGAACGGGACCCTAATTACTCACACCATGAAAGTGCTTGGATTAAGACTGAGAGTGGCAACTACCTCCCAGGGGGATGGTGGAAAGCTGAAGACGGCCGAGTAGCAATTCCTGAGGCCTTAGCTCCAGCCTTTGTTAAGCACTTCCATCGGGAGACTCACACCGGCCGGACAGCCCTTGAAACAATGTTAAGCCGGTATTTTTACATCCCTCGGCTCTCCAGCACAGCCCGAGTGGCATGTGAGCAATGTGAAACCTGCGCCCGAAACAACCCACGTCAGGGGCCCAAGGCCGCCCCTGGAATACAGAGCGTTGGGGGAGCCCCCTTTGAAAATGTGATGGTGGACTTCACGGAGCTCCCCCCGGGTTCGGGGATGTAAATACCTGTTGGTCTTTGCATGTACTTTCTCAGGCTGGGTGGAAGCTTTCCCTACCCGAACAGAAAAGGCGCATCAAGTGGCCCGACTCCTTCTCAAGGAAATTATCCCACGATTTGGGATCCCTATCACTGTGGGTTCAGATAACGGGCCAGCGTTTGTGGCTGAGGTGGTGCAGCTGGTGGCAAAGGGGCTAAAGATAACCTGGAAGTTACACACGACATACCGACCCCAAAACTCCGGAAAGGTGGAACGAATGAACAGAACCTTGAAGCTGCAATTAAGCAAACCGTGCCACGAGACCCACCTGCACTGGGACCAGGTGTTGCCAATAGCCTTGTTAAGAGTCAGGTGCAGCCCCAATCAGCAAACGGGGCTTTCCCCTTTTGAACTCCTTTGTGGGCGCCCTCCCCCAATTGTTAAGGGGATAAGGGGAGATTTCAATGAGAGAGGCGATTTAACCCTAAGGCAGCAAATACAGGCTCTGGGCTCTCCTCTAGCCACTCTACACCGATGGGTTAAAGAACGATTGCCTGTGAGTCTCGCCACAGATACTCACTCCTTTGAGCCAGGAGATGCTGTATGGGTAAAAGAGTGGAAGGTCCAACCACTCAAACCCCTTTGGCGGGGCCCGTTTAGTGTCATTTTGTCCACCCCTACTGCAGTAAAAGTAGCCGAGGTGGGTCCCTGGATTCACCACAGCAGAGTGAAGCCGGCATCCGGGCACTGGGAATGCATTCCTGATCCGTCCACGCCGTGTAAGCTGACCATACGGAGGAAGCGAGCTACCACGGCGGAGACTCCAACGGGAGACTACAGCCCTGCTTGAGTCACTCCGGAAGCTGACTAATCTACGCACGGCGGGAGCCTGAGGAACCGCCGGTCCGGTGGAATAAATAGACTGTCCTTATTCCTTACATCTGCCTCTTACTGTAATGCACTGTCACCCCTTGTCTCTCATTATTATTGCAATTGTTGCTTTCCTTCTCGCTAGTGGATTGGTGGAGGTTGCCCCAGCCAGCTGGAAATGTGGCGAGAGGTTTCTGTTAGCACTCACTTTTCTCTTGGGGGTAGGGTGTTTTGTTGGTATTGGTGGTTTTTAATTTGGACTCCGCTTGTAAACCTGAATCTCTCATCATGCCATCCATGCATTCGCATAACCAGGTCAGGCCAAGGAATCACCTGGACCCTATCGTACCATACCCATTTCTCATTGCCAGGGAGAGGTCCAAGCGACATGCATACATAACAAGACCACCTATTCCATCTGCCATTGGGGAAATCAGTACACTTGCTCTGACCCACAGTACTCCCCGAGTGAAGACTGGTTACAAGTCCGATCTTACCAGGAAGAGGGGGCCTTCATTAACCCGACACGGATTGCAAACCCCAAGCGTCCGGTGTCAGCACTGTTTGATGTGTGTGCCGTTATAGGTCTAGGCCCAGAAGCATCCGTTATACGGAACAAACGGGCACCTGTCATAGGGGGCCCAAAAACTCTGGATATACCGTGTGGTGGCTTAAATTGGGAGCGAAGATATCGCCTCAGTGACAAATACATGTGTGAGGAAAATGGTTTATGTGCCTGTACACCTGAGTTTCTATGCCCTAGCTGGAGCTGTGTTTCATAGGCCACTTGGAAAAAAAAAGGATGCAACAGCTCTCCTTCAAAAGGGGGCTGCTAGATCAGATTGTCAGTCAAAAGCCTGTAACCCTGTAAATTTCACTATCATTAATTTATTATTATTTTATTTTTTTTTTGGCTTCATGAATTTTATTTTTTTATTTTTATTTTTATTTTTTTTTTACAAATAGTTTATTGTCAAATTAGTTTCACTATCATTAATTTAAAAGACTACAAATGGCCATGGGGGGCCAGAGAATTAGATCCCCTCGAGCCTTATGATGGAACGAATTACCCCAGTTCTGCAGCCGGGAGTTGGCTCCTGAAAACCTCAATCATTGGGAAGAACTGTCTTGCCCGATGGGGGAAAAAGTTCACCATTCCTGTCGGAAACTTAAAATGCCTGGGCCAAAGGTTTTATAATTCAACTACCTGGGAAACCCAACGGTGTGGGTCCCCAGGTCACCATGAGCCAAATCCTCACCCTTGTTTAACTTCTCTCATCTCCGGGAGGCCTGGGACAACATAGACGCTGCCATCGAATGGCGGGCCCCAGGGGGACTATATTGGATATGTGGGAGAACAGCCTATACAGTACTCCCTTCAGGCTGGTCAAGGTCATGTGTGATGGGAACTATTCGCCCATCCTTCTTCCTACTCCAACTTGCAGAAGGAGAACATCTGGGAGTTCAAATATATGGAGATAGGAAAGTTCAAAGAAAGCAGAGTGCCTTGCAAATTGGCAACTGGAAGAAAAATAAATGGCCTCCCAAAAAAATAATTCATTATTACGGCCCTGCTACGTGGGCCGAGGATGGGTCCTGGGGCTACCGCACCCCCATTTATATGCTAAACCACATAATTAGACTACAAGCAGTTGTAGAAATTATAACCAATGAAACTGCTAGGGCTCTTAATTTACTTGCTAAGCAGCAAATCAAAATGCGCAATGCAATCTACCAAAATCGCCTGGCCTTAGATTACCTGCTTGCTTCTGAGGGTGGTGTTTGTGGAAAATTCAACCTGAGCAACTGCTGCCTACAAATAGATGATAAGGGAAAAGTCATAGAGGAGATCACAGATCGAATGAGAAAAGTTGCTCATGTCCCAGTCCAAACCTGGAATGGTTGGAACCCCAGAGAGTTATTTGGAGGATGGTTTTCATCTTTCGGGGGATTCAAAACCCTCATAGGTATTGTCCTCCTAATTCTGGGAGGATGTTTGATTGTACCCTGCTTGGCTCCCTTGATGATACGATCAGTCTCCAGTCTCATTGAGACTATAGTTGAGAGAAAAACGGCTGTTCATGTAATGATGTTATGGAAATATAAAACTCTAAGCCAGGATGATGCTCTTTGACCCAAAATAGAGGGGTCTGAGCATCAAAGGGGGGAATGTGGTAGGAACCCCTCCCTAAGGAGAAAGAAAAAATTGAAGAAGAGAGAAGGCTTCAAGGTCACCTAGATATGAGTCCAGCTGCCTACATCCCCCATGTTCTTGTAAACTGAAACAACTTAATCAGACTACATGTTTATGTGTATTACCATATATGGGAGACAAAGAAATAGAAAATGCATAAAAAACCCTATGCCATATGATGTGGGCCGCTCAGTTCTTTTGGGTACGAACCCAACTGAGCGGTGCCGGCAAAATAAAGTTGCTTCCTGGAAAGAAAAGTCTCGGTGTCACGACTCTCTGAGCGAGAATCCTGCAACAGTTTGGCTTCAGTAATAGTTTCGATCCTGCTCCTGGTCCTGCTTGTGTGGGGCACGTGGCAGACCCAAGACTACAGTGATCCCAGAGTCCTTGCTCAATTATACTTCAGCATTAAAGGGAAGAGGCACTAAACAAAAGAACAGACAAATGGTGATTGAGAGTGAGCCGCTTCACCCCAAGATGTTGGGCCAGGCCACACACTCACATGCTTTATCTTTTCTCAAATATCATGAAACTTTAAAACAATAAACCTATCCCTACTTTTGGCAAAAGTTACTCATAAGACAACCTATGCCCTTGTTGGAATACAGATCATTCTCAAATCATTGACGTGCATGTGAATGGACAGTCAGAGGATCCCAGGATTCCTGCTGGCTGGTCTGTGTGGCATCTGTGTTGTTGGTAACACGTTCTGTCTGTGGTTGGAACAATAAAGTAGGGTAGGCAGAACAGGCTATGAAGTGCCTTAAGGAAGAAGCTGTTTGGCTTTAAGGTTGATCCCCATGGCTTGCGGGATTTGTTCTCTTGGCCTGGTTTGGGCAATTGGAGTTCCTGGTATTGAAGCCCCTGACATGGACCGTTACTTGTTCTGTTTGTTTGTTTCATCATTGTCATGAGGCTGGTCCATGGCATTTTATCTACAGTCTTAAATGCCTTTATGTAAAATGTTCTCTCACCAGATGAGTGCCATGATGACCCCAACATAGGCTAGAAGATCTTCCACGGCTCTGAAGATGGCTGACGGGGCCCAATCTCAAGTTTTCTCGGAATGAGCCAACGTCTCACAAGTGAGATACTGACCAAAATCGGAGACTGAGAATGCAAGATACAAATGGACAGTGGCCTGGCCATCTATAAAAATAGGACTCTGAGCTGAGGTCTGCAGCAACCAGCCCAGGAAGTCAACCCATTTTCTACAGCTTCAGCATATTATCTAGAAGTCAGACTTGTAGCTGTCAGACCACCTTCTCAAGCAACCAGCCCCGGAAGCTAAACAATAACCTCTGGATTGCCTGTCCCCAAAGAGTCAGCATTTGATTGGTAACTGAGAGGATCCCTGAATATGTCCCCACTTGCCACTTGAGACCAGCAGATGACATCACAGATGCACCCCTAACAATTACATGAGATGCCCTTCCTCTAGAACACTGACTATAGCTTCCTTGCACCAGGAATCTCCTGCATCACTGTGGCCTTGTCTTCTGCCTCTACAAAGTTTCCCTATTCTTCTGTCCATCTCTGAGTCTGCCCACAGGGAAGGGATTGTGTCTGACTCCCTTGCTCTAGCAAGTTCTGAATAAACCACTCATACTTATTATCACCTGTTTTGTCTTCATTTGTATCCACAGCAACATTGAATAGTGTTGAAAACTGGTGAATGGTCCAGGTAGGGAGCTGGGCTAAGTGAAGAGTGCTGGACCCAACCTCCTGGGGACCCACTGAAGTCTACTTCTAGCTCAGCTACTCCTTACTCTGGTGTTTTCCTGATTTGATTTCCTTGTTCTGGAAATGCATAATTTCCCCATTCTCTTCAAGACGCTAGACTTCTCCAGCCAGCATCTGGTTCCAGAAGTTCTGTAGTCTTGGTGTTCAGCTTCATAAACATTGAGGCTGAATTCAGAAACACCATGTGGAAATACTAAATAAGAAAGTCGAAGTGGTGTGGGCTACAGATTTCAAAGTTGAAGTGAGGCTGTTCTAGTTCAGAAGGATTGGAATTATCAGTATAGAGGTTGACCGAATGAAAAGAAAGTAGGAAAGTATTTCTGGTGATCCCCGAGGAGTGTCCTATGGAGGAGATAATTGGATATGGTTATAGAGAGGGCTCTCCCCGAGAAGATAGGGCTCTGTCCCCTGCCACTAAAGGATTTAGCAAAAGATCATGAGTCTGTAGAGACTGGATCAGGGGGAGGAAGGAAGGAGCAAGGAAGGTGGATTCTCACAGTCAGAACAGCCCTGATTTCACTCTCAGCCATGCCCAAGCCTTGTCCAAGTGGCTTAGACACTTCCGTCAACAGCCACTGAAACACAGAAGATCACAGAGAATTTGTGCAGCCACCAAAGCTTGTTTGCTTATGTTGCCCCTGATTCTGTCAAAACTGAATTCTGTTGAGGTAAGATCAGATCCCAGTTTTTATCAGCTCCAGAACTTGCAAAATTGTGAAGTCTTATTTTTTTCTCCTTAGTTTATTGTCAAGTTGGTTTCCATATATCACCCAGTGTTCATCCCAACAAGTGCCCTCCTCCATGCCCATCACCTCTCTTCCCCTCTTCCCCACCCGCATCAGCCCTCAGTTTGATCTCAGCATACAAGAGTCTCTCATGGTTTTCCTCCCTCCCTCTCCCCAACTATTTTCCCCCTTCTCTTCCCCCATGTTCCTCCATTAAATTCCTCCTAATCTACCTATATGTGGAAATATATGGTATCTGTCCTTCTCTGCTTGACTTATTTTGCTTAGCATAACCCTATGAAGCCTCATTTAATATCTATCCCCTCTGATTACCCTTTCTGAACACTTGACATACACTGCACACTTTACCTACAAGAATTCATTCAGTGCCATCACAAACCTATGTGATGGTTTCTTACTCTCCCTACTTCTCAGGTGGAGAAAAAGGCACAGAGATGCTGGTGTCCAGGTGCATGAACTGCTTGTGCCAGGATATGAACCCAGGCCTGTAGTCTCAATACTCATGCTCTAACTACTGAGCTGCACTTCTACTCAGCCATGGGATCCTTGGCTGTGCAAAGGAGTTCCAGCATCTGTGTGCATGTCAGGAATCACTTGAAACCAAGGGAAACCGCAACCACTGCCTATCATTATGAGGTAGTCTCAGTGGTCACATGGCCCAGGGAAGCTCTCAAGCCAGATTATTAGAGATCTTTCCATAGCCATTAATATGAAAATGATCTAGAAATCCTACATGGTTCTGGTCAGTTCAAAGATTCCGAGGGTTTGGAGGCACACGTTAGGAAAACCTGGTCAAATTCTGTCAGTGATTTTGACTACTTGGCCTCAATCCAGTAAGGACTGAGGAGATTCTTTAGAGGTGTTTGATGGCATTGTCAATATGAGTGAGCCCTAGCAACGCTGAATTCTGTGAGACAATGCAAACGAGAACTCAAAGTACCAATTCACAATGAGCCTTGTGTCCATCGCCCTCATTGCGGCTCCCGTGAGCAGCTGACTTAGAGAGCTAGTGAGTGTCTGGTCAATCAGTTTCATGGTGTGGTCATTCTTCGGGGCACGGCACAAATCTGATAAGAATTTAGTGAGGGGGTGCCTCACTTACTCAGTGGTTGGAGCATACATCACTTGCTCTCCAGGTTATGAATTCAGGCTACATGTGGTGCATGAAGACTACTTTAAAAAGATCAGGAACATAATATAGTCTACTTGATAACATTTTCGGCATGAGTCCTCCAAACAGCTTGAATCCCATGAACTACACACTGTAGGAACTGTGACCAATAGGAAGGCCAACATTCGATTACTAGCCATCATCCTTGTTTTGACACTCGTATCCATGCTCCTTAATGAGCTATCCCATGGCTGGCTCTTAAATGAAAGCCAATAGCTGACATGTGTAATGAATACATGTAGCACAGAAAGGCAAGACTAGAAGAGAAAGAGCACATAATAATACTATTAGGTTTCAAACTGTGGGGTTTCCTTATGTACAAGTTTCAATAACTGACGAGCTTTACAACAACAAAGGATTTATGATTAAGTAAAACAGACTATTGTGCTGAGATTTGAACCCAGTCTCTCAGTAAAGGGATGCTTATAATCATTTGCAAAATAGTAAGCAACAATTGATAGATGAGTGCAGTTCCGGGTGATCCTGAGGGAGAGTCATAGCGGTAGTGGGGGAGTGCAGCTATCACTTTGAAATCCAGATATTACTGGACTTTTGCATGTATTAGCCAAAGCTGGGATTGCTGGATCAAATGGTAGTACTTTTTAAAATGTCTTCAGGAACTTCCATATTGTTTTTATAGTGACTGCATCAGTTTACATTCTCTGTTGTGTATCTGTTAAATGTTATTTATTTACTTATTTATTTACTTATTTACTTTATTGAGGGAGCAGGGTAGAATCCCAATGAGGGATTTGATCCCAGGAACCTTGAGATCATGACCCGGGTCCAAATCAAGAGTGGGATAGTTAACCAAGTGAAGCAGCCGGAACCCTGGTTTGTTGGGTATTTTAAGGACCTGCCAACGCTAAGTCCTTCCTAAATCCCACTCTGACTCACGTGGCTCTACTAGGCAACTGCTGAACAATGGAATCAAAAGATTGAACTCTCATTAAGTTATCCCTCAAATTTCTGTGGTCTTCTGGCAGCAAGATGTCAACAGCTCTTTCTCTTGTATGTCTTTCCCAGAGTGTCCCTTGAAGAAGATCGTCAGGAGAGTTTGGGGAAAGAAGATAAGACCAACAGGTAATTCAGTTGAAGGTACTGTAGAAATTTAGTCATTACATTGATTCCAGAAGAATTATTCTAGTTTGTTCAGTGTCCCATACTTAAGACAAAAATCCTAAGTCATGGCTTTATTTTTAAAATTTCAGCCTCCTGCACATGCCACCAGGTCCTTCTGCAGAAATGAGGTGGGAGGTGCACCCTGGGGCACATTTCTCTCCTCCTCTCCTCACTCAAATCCCTGGTTTCAGAACCAGAATAAATCCTGCACATGCCTCCATGTGAAAGGCCAGTGTGCAGCCGCCCCAAGAGCCTCTCTGGCTGGCAGGAATTCTAGAAGCCTGTGTGAAGGCTGTTGGGCTGGCTGCACACGCTGGTTCTCATGGCCCCACTGAGCTGTCTCCTGGGACTGACCAGGCCCAGAAAGAGACTGTGGGCAGCAGACAGGAGTCCCTGCACCTTTCAAAACCTGCTGCTCCAGTCACACAGTGCTGTGCTTGTCCCCACATTCCAGTCCTAGCCCACTCTATGACCTTCCCTCAGGCCTGCTCAAGGTCTCCCCCCGGTCATTCCACGGCTCAGGGCAAAGGCTGGCAGGTGCAGTGTTAATGTAGTTTCACCTACTATATAACCCCTATCACACTGCTTGTGGATTAGGGAAATTTGGACAAACTACTTTTAATCTTGTTTATCCTCTCTTAGGGGTAGGGAAGGTATGGGGTTATTATGAGGATTAAGTATCTCCAGGTAACTAAGGTCACCCCAGGCACAGACAGACCCTCTGTATGTGGAAGTGGTAGCCCTTCTCTGAGCCAGGGCCCAGCACAACCCCAGGCCCATGGCACGTATCCCAGGGGGGTTGACTGCATTGGTTAATTGATCAGCTGATTGATTAGGGAAGCTGGCAGTATATCCCTGATCATTCCTTGCCTGCTCCCATATGACAGAACAGTCTGGTCGGTGGAGGTGGTAGGAGAAAGGAAAAGACACTCATCAGGAGAGATAGGAGGAGGGGAAGCAGTAGGTTGTGAGTACTGAGGAAGGTAATGTCACTCACAGAAATACATGAAGACAGCAGCTGGCTTCTCAGAAGGAAAAGATGACACCGGCATTCATTCCAGGCCACAGTTATGGAATGTGAGGGCTGGAAAAGTACACTGGAGATCAGAGACCCAGTCCTTCATTGTGGCCGCAGGGAGGAGTGCAGAGCTGAGGTCGGAATGGGGCCCGAGATCAGCTCTTATCCTGCCAGGAACAGTGAGTCTGAGTTCTCACTGTCCCCTGTCCTTTTTCAAGACCACAGCCTCTGGGCCACAGCTGCCCTGGTCCTTGCCAAAGATTACTTTGCAGATTATGAAGACTCAAAGAGGAAGCAAAATCATGGAGGTAATTTATTTCCTCTGTCGTCTCTTTCCCTTTCTTGCTTTCCTATCCTAAGATCCCTCTGTGGCTCTTCACTGCTCCCTCTTTGGGCGATTCTCATCCTGGAAAACCCTGTCCTGTCCAGGCACACAGGGTCCTCCATCTCCCAATGTCTGTCAAATCTCCCTGCCACCCCCTCGCACGCTTTATGAGCAGTGCCCTGCCTCCACACCAGGGTCTCCGATGCTGAAGGCTGTGGAGCAGCCCTGAGTGACCGGCGGGGAGCAGGATGGGGAGTGAGGGGGGCTGGCCGACGATGCCTGAAGGGCCTCCCTGGAAAACTGGGGGTTCCAGGAACCCCGCACTTGGTGCTTTCCTGCCCCAGGGAGGGGGGTAGTGGATTCTTTCCTTCCCACCAGCCGGCAGGGGTCAGAAGCTCTCTTGTGCTGGTCTCTGGAGAGGGGCGGTGAAGAAGTGAAAGACGATGAGGAGGAAGAATAAGAGGAAAGGTTGAGTGTGGAGGGGGGAAGG